AAGCAACCTCCGGCTGTTTTTTTATCCACTGAATCACTGTAAGATGTGAAGCCAAGAACTTCACTTTTTTGAAAATATAGAGATTATATCTCACTCTGAAGAGTTTCATTGTTCTCAGTATGTGCAGAGCAGACAACTGGTTGCAGAAGTCAGTTTCTGGACTGATTGCAAGCAGTAAACAGAACTGCATGCACACAGATGTCGATTTGATAGTGAGAGCTTCTCTATCCAGACAGAAATATGTTGCTGTGGATAGAGAAGCTCTCACTATCTAATGGACTGTTGATGAGCTCCAGTACTGTCTCAGCTTCTCACCATCAGAGATCATGTGTCCATTCAGTGGATGGTGAAGACCAAGAAGATTTAGGTCTCCTGTACTCAAGAACTTTCACTTCAGTGTGCAACATCAATCTGGCTTCTCCACCCCTCCCTCGTCTCTGTCTGCCCAGTGAAGGGTGAACAATTTTCTTTATTCATTTATTAGTTTGTTTATTGATTCATCTATTAAATAATGAATTCACCAGTGCACTGTAGATGATGAAAAACAGAAGTTCTTTGCTATTTTATATTGAAAAAAGTTATTCTTGAATTGTTGCACTATTTGATCGTGCAGTCTTTCACAGAGTGGTGAACCCCTCCTCATCTTTACTTCTGAAAGACTCCGCCTCTCTGAGATGCTCTTTTATACCCAATCATGTTACTGACCTGTTGCCAATTAACCACCAGGTGTTTTTTTCAGCATTACACAACTTTACCAGCCTTTTGTTGCCACTGTCCCAACTTTTTTGGAGCGTGTTGTTGGAATCAAATTCAAAATTGGCAAATATTTTTCATAAAACAATAAATGGGGCAAAAGCAGAGTCCAAAGGGGTCAGGTGAAAAGACGTAAACGAGAAACCAAAACAAAGTCACAAACCAGGAGATCAATACAAACAGAAGGCTCGGTAATGAACAGCAGGCTGATACAATACTTTGCAAAGATACTAACTAAAAGCCCAGGCTTTATACTAACTGTAAGGAATCATATGACAAGGAATACAGGTGTAAACAGTCAATAATCAGGAGAGGCTGAATGTGGGTAGGATGGCTGTAAAGAGTCGTAGTCATGTGACCTCCCAGAGGATTCTGGGGGTTGGAGTCTGCAACGGAGTGAGGAGTAGTTGTTGCAGCAGAGCCAGGGAGAGATGTGACAATGTTGAACAAAACCCGCTCTTCTCCACTGCATCGCTACTCGATCCAAGATAACTAATGTAGCATAGCTAGCTAATGCACTTCATTTAAAATGAGCTAGATTTGAATGATTTAATGGTAATTTGCTATCGGTATCGGGCTCTGTATTGGACAGTACTAAAAAAACATGTACTTGGTCTGAAAAAAAATGGTATTGATTCATCTATAGATCTTACTTTGGTATTATGGAACATTAATAATTTAAAATGCTACTGCTTACTCTAAGCATGACATAACTAGATAAATTGCATCATACACATATATGCTTCTCAATCAGCAAACAAAAACCACGCTACTGTACTTCTGACCAGAATCACATATAAGAGCCACTGTCCATTAAACACATGCAGATTCTGATACTGTTTGCAACTCATCACATTATACAAAGGACTATAATAATGACACAATCCAGTCAGAGCTACAACAGTGATGCTTCTGCTAAACACTGCTTCTCTCTATCATGTCTTTTAAGCTTCCCCCCGCACCCCAAAAATGTTTTTATTGTTGATTCAGAGGGTCCAAACTGTTAATTAGGCCCCATATTTTGCACCTTGCCTGCGGCCCATGTACTGTTATGATAGATTACACATATGCTTTAGCAACTAAATATGATTACATTTTTCAGTATTTTTTACAGTGTCCACTGTTTACCTTTATTACAGCTTCCAACCTTTTCAGGAGACTTGACAGAAGATTTCAGTTTCCTAACTTTAATGTAAGTTAATGTAATGAGATTTTTTCCTAACTGTTTTTAGAGCATTGAGCACAACGGCTGCTGTTTTTCAAATAATGTTAAAAATTTAATCTATAAGGCTTTGTTTCAACTCGTCAATGTGTGTTTTACTGTTTTATTATGTCATATAAACACATTTATTTCTATATTAAATCTGATTTGCATCTTTCAGAGTTACAACGAAGAGGGGCAAATTCCACATGAGGGAAGTAGCTCTGAACACAGAGTGCCTAAAAGCTTTACACAACCCTTTAGTCGTCACATGATTTTATCAATCAGTGATTGTTTAACTCTGTGGAAAAACAAACAAACAAACAAAAAAAACAAGGAATGACAAAAATCTCTGCAGAGAAAAATAACATCATAAAGACAAATTAGATTTCAGAGCTCCAGCTTCTATACAATATACAGTATACAATACAGCTTCTATACAGTGTACAGTGTATTGCTTTTTTCAGTATTAATGCTTATCTTATGCTGTGGTTTAAAATAAAGCAATGCATTGCACACATTTCAAGTGAATCATTTATACTGTCTTTGTATTTAATTAGAATATAGAAGAGAGTGATGCAGTGAGAGTGATATAATAGTGATATTGCAGAGGCTGTGTGTGCATTCACATGTAGAACCACAAAAACAGTGAGTAATGATGAGATATGGATGATGCATACAGTGTTTAATATAACCATCTTGTAATAAGGCGTGTTTAGGTAGGCAGAATAGACAAGGATGTTGAAAACTGCCTGCATATAAAAACAAGTATTGATGTTGGGGTTTGGGCTCTAGTGTTCTGAAGGAGGTGAAAGGTTAGTCTTATAAACCTGACTTTAACCTGTTATCAGAGTCTGGAGTATTTCACCATTTAACATGACCAAAAACCACCAATATTGACAGAAAGGCACATTAGACTGACCAACAAACCAACCAACCTGTTTAAGTTTGATCTGTGGGAAACAAACTGGCAAACATGAGGATTTCTTGTTTAAGAGATTCTAAATACTTCAGATAAATACCTTGGATGACTAAAAAAAAGTGATGTCAAGATCATCACTATAAATTTATAGACTGTATCTCATTCTGAAGAGGATCATGGCTCTCCTGTGTGCAGAGCAGACAGCTTCTTGCGAAAGTGTTACAGCCAGTAAACAGAACTGCATACACACAGATGTGCAGATAACCAATCAGAATGGAACTGACAAAATACTGAGTTTTGACACCTGATTTTTGAATCATTTATATTGTCACAGTATTACATGGATATTATATAAGAGAGTGATGCAGTGATAGTGATATAGTAGTGACGTTGTAGAGGCTGTGTGTGTATTCAAATTTACGGAACAGCAAAAACAGTGTGTTATGATAAGGACGATGCATATTGTGTTTAGTATAATTATCTCGTAATAAACATGTTTATGTAGACAGAATAGGCAATAGACAAGTAGTGATGTTGGTTTTGGACTCGTAATGTTATGAAGGAGCTGAACGGTTAGTCTTACAAGCCAGACTTTAACTTTTGGTCATAGATTCTGGAGTGTTTCATCAGTTAACATCACCAAGAACCACCAATGTTGATCAATCAACCTCAGACTGTCAAGACTTGACTTGACTTGATGTGTGGAGAGCCAATCAGAACGGAACCAAATCATGATCATTTTGGGCACCTCAGTTTTGGCCGAGGAGCCACCATGACCTGACCAGAAGGTGTTTAGCTGAGAGAGACCATCAGCATTACTGTAGAGTGACTGATGTTACACACTGAAGGGAAAGTTCTTGAGTGCAGGACCTGATGAAGGTGAGAAGGTGAGACAGTACTGGAGCTCATCAACAGTCGATCTGATAGTGAGAGCTTCTCTATCCAGACAGAAATATGTTGTTGTATATAGAGAAGCTCTCACTATCTAATGGACTGTTGATGAGCTCCAGTACTGTCTCAGCTTCTCACCTTCAATCAGAGATCATGTGTCCATTCAGTGGATGATGAAGACCAAAAAGCTTCAGGTTTCCTGCACTCAAGAACTTTCACTTCAGTGTGCAACATCAATCTGGTCTCTCCACCCCTCCCCCATCTCTGTCTGGACAGAAAAGGACCACAAAATTTCTTTAATTATTCATTTGTTTACTTATTTATTCTTCTACCAAGTAATGAATTCATCAGTGTGCTCTTCCAATGTGTCTGTTTTCTGGGAAACAAGTATCAGCCTCCTTAGTTGGTGGACTCCTGTCTCCACTGTAGCTCTGCTGGGAATCAAACTCAATAAGATAAAACTTTTTGAACTGATTCCTGCACTGAAAGCCCAAATATCAGCTTTTAACATCACATCCTCATCTACAGTCCAGGACCTCCACTGCATGTTGGAAATAGAGTATTGTGTTTATCCTATGCCTGCGGTTCATTTACTGTTATGATAGATTACACAGAAATCTCAAAAGCTGAATATCACATTGTTCAGTATTTAGTGTGCACTCATTACCTTTATTACTGCTTCCATTCATTTCAGGAGGCTTCACAGAATATTTTGCATTTAGTAGTCTTGCTCTGTGAGCTTGTTTGTTGTTCCCCTTTGCAGATGGACTGTTGTTACTCCTACATGTTACAGCTTTACAAGACATGCTGACATTTGGCTGGGACGGCCCTAGCAGAGCAAAAATTTGACAAACTGACTTGGCAGGTGTCATCCTGTGGCAGAGCCATGTTGAGTCACTGAGCTCTTCAGTATGAATCATTCTACTGTCAGTGTTTGTCTGTGGAGATTGACTGTCTACTTGATTTTATGCATCTGTTAGCAGTGGGTGTTACCAAATACGCTGATTAGAAGGAGTAACTACCCTAGTTTTGCTATGTAGTGTAGCAGTTTTGGTTTAATTTACTGAATGTAAAGATGCATTGATGAGTTATTACATAATAAACAGACTACATCAAAGGTTTTTAGTAACTGTCTGATGTTTAGTGCACTGAGCTTATCAGATACATCAGATCTGCTATCATGGGTCATCTTCATACTAGAGCTTCTGCTCTGCGCTCTGAGAGGAAGATGTGGTGAAGGGGGAGGCAGTGGGGGGCAGAGCCTTTAATAAAGGGCTGAAAATGAATTGTGAAAGATGAGTTAGAGTCTCAGCAGCTTAAACTGGAGATACAGACGGAGAGAGAAACATTCAGAGCTTCAGGCGCCTGCAGAGAAGATGGAGATGAAGATGAGCTGTGTGTGTTTGGTGCTGGGGCTGGTCCTGCTGATGACCGTCTCCTCAGACGCTACCGGTGAGTTTAACACATTTTCTAGCTTTACTTGCAGATCCAGACACAGATTAACACATTATAATCAGGGGGGTCGAATACTTGAGTAATCATACTTTGTTACTGTACTTAAGTATTATTTGAAATTGATGATTTGTACTCTTTCTCAATTACATCTCCAAGAGAAAAAAACATAATTCTTACTTCTTAATCCTTACATTTCTTTTTAATTTGGAGTTAATATAATCATCCCAAATCTCAAAGTGCAGGAGATATTTCTCTTTTTCTTTGTCACTTGTCAATCTCTTCAACACAGTTGGCACATATTTTTTCATTTTATTGACATTTTTTTTTGTTTTACTAAAACATTTAATCAAATTAATATCAATGAGGACATTGCTCACAACTATACTAATTAATATTTTGTTGAAGAAAGAATTCAGACTATGAATAACACTACTATTCTAGTAGTATTTGGTGTAAGCTGAGGCAGATTTGCTACTCTGTGTGATGGCGAGCAAGAGGAAGAAACTCTGAGAGGAACCAAGACTCAAAAGGGGAACCCGTCCTCCTTTGGTCAACACCGGATAGCAAACAATATGTTTTAATATAGATATGTATTAATTTGAGACTCTTTCTTTGTACTCTAGTTTCTCTGATAGTAACACTGTAATAACAGTGACTGTACTATTACTAATAATAATAATTAGTACTACTAAAAATAACAAGAACAACAACTAATACTGATAGTGGTAATAAATAATAACAAATTGTTAAGTATTTTTATTATTATGAGCATATTTTAACAATTTTTATATATATTTCATTGGTATTAATAGTAAAAGTAGTTTAAGCGTGCAGAATTTGCAGGTTCGAGTGTTTCATCATTAGAAGACAGAGCTTGAAAGTCTTTCTTCTCTTCTTCCTCAGATGGTTCCAATGCCCATCCTGATCCGTGCTGTTTCAGCTTCACCACTTCTAAAATTTCAGTCGAAGAAATACTAAAATTTGAAAAAACACATCCCGACTGCCCAAAGCAGGGCTATGTGTGAGTATCTGCCTTTAGAAGATGTAGATCATCAATGTCAGAATAAAACCTTGTATTTCCAAAATGGGAACTTTGCAGGAGAAGAAAAAACTTTCCTAACTTTACTGTAAGTTAATTTAGTGAGATTTTCCCAACTAATTTTGGAGAATTTTTATTGTTTATGGTCTTATTATGTCACATAAAGACATTTATTTCTATATTAAATCTGATTTGCTGTTTATTATCAGTAGATGAGACTCTCTTGACTGAAAACATAATGAGGTTTACTGTGCTGTCTTTCAGTGTTACAACGCCGAGGGGCAGATTCTGCAAAAAGGACCTGCAGGAAATCTAGATTTCAGGGCTGCAGCTTCAACACAGCCCAGACGCAGACGCAGCACACAGAGCAGCTAAAAGCTTTACACGCCCCTTTAATCATCACATGATTTATCAATCAGCGCTTTGCTTTTTCAATATCATCAGTGCTTGTTTAACTCTGTGGAAATAAAACAATGTATGACAAAAATCTCTGCAGAGAAAAACAACATCATGAAGACAAATTAGATTTCAGAGCTCCAGCTTCTAAACAATAAACAATGTATTGCTTCTTTTCAATGTTATTACTGCTAATTTTTTGCTGTGTTTTTGAATAAAACAATGCACTGCATACATTTCAAGTGAATCATTTATATTGTCACAGTATTACATGGATATTATATAAGAGAGTGATGCAGTGATAGTGATATAGTAGTGATGTTGTAGAGGCTGCGTGTGTATTTACATTTACCGAACAGCAAAAACAGTGTGTTATGATAAGGACGATGCATATTGTGTTTAGTATAATTATCTCGTAATAAACATGTTTATGTAAACAGAATAGGCAATGCTAAAAAGAAAAGAATATATACAATCCTGTCTGCATATAAAAACAAGTAGTGATGTTGGTTTTGGACTCATAATGTTATGAAGGAGCTGAACGGTTAGTCTCACAAGCCAGACTTTAACCTGTGATCTGAGATTCTGGAGTGTTTCATCATTTAACATCACCAAGAACCACCAATGTTGATCAATCAACCTCAGACTGTTTAAGTTTGGTCTGTGGGAAACAAATCAGCACTTATGTGAAGATATCTTGCTTAAGAGCTACTGAATACTTCAGAGAAATCCTTTGAATTACTTTTAGATGTGATGCCAAAACTTATTTATCACTGAACTAATCCAACTGTAGACAGAACTGCACGCACACAGATGTGTGGAGAGCCAATCAGAATGGAACTGACAAAATCCTGATAGTTGTGGGCACCTCAGTTTTGGTCAAGGAGCCACCATGACCTGACCAGAAGGTGTTTAGCTGAGAGAGACCATCAGCATTACTGTAGAGTGACTGACGTTACACACTGAAGGGAAAGTTCTTGAGTGCAGGACCTGATGAAGGTGAGAAGCTGAGACAGTACTGGAGCTCATCAACAGTCCATTAGATAGTGAGAGCCTCTCTATACAGCAACACTTTTCTGTCTGGATAGAGAAGCTCTCACTATCAGATGGACTGTTGATGAGCTCCAGTACTGTCTCAGCTTCTCACCTTCATCAGAGATCATGTGTCCATTCAGTGGATGGTGAAGACGAAGAAGCTTCAGGTCTCCTGCACTCAAGAACTTTCACTTCAGTGTGCAACATCAATCTGGTCTCTCCACCCTCCACCATCTCTGTCTGGACAGAAAAGGACCACAAAATTTCTTCAATCATTCATTTGTTTACTTATTTATTCTTCTATCAATTAATGAATTCATCAGTGTGCTCTTCCAATGTGTCTGTTTTCTGGGAAACAAGTATCAGCCTCCTTAGTTGGTGGACTCCTGTCTCCACTGTAGCTCTGATGGGAATCAAACTCAATAAGATAAAACCTTCTGAACTGATTCCTGCACTGAAAGCCCAAATATCAGCTTTTATCATCACATCCTCATCTACAGCCCAGGACCTCCACTGCATGATGGATATAGAGTATTCTTGCTGTGTCTGAGGTTCATTTACTGTTATGATAGATTACACAGACACTTCAAAAGCGAAATATAACATTGTTCAGTATTTAGTGTGCACTCATTACCTTTATTACTGCTTCCATTCATTTCAGGAGACTTGGCAGTATATTTTTATGTGCTATGAGGTTTTGCGCTTTGGTTTCATTCTGTGAGCTTGTGTGTTGTACCCCATTGCAGGTGAGCTGTTGTTGCTCCAAGACATTACAACTTTATTATAATGCTGGTATTCGACCAGGACAGCTGTGGTAGAGCAGAAATTTAACAAACTGAGATTTTGGACAGCTTGGATCCTGTGACAGAATTGTTTTGAAAGACACTGAGTTCTTCAGTATGACTCATTCAGTACGATTCTACTGATAGTGTTTGTCTGTGGAGGTTGCATAGCTGTATGGTTGATGTTAGGCATCTGTTAGCAGTGGGTGTTGCCAACAAAACTAATTAGAAGGAGTGTCTACACACGTTTAGATATGTAGTGTAGCAGTTTTGATATCATTTCCTGAATGTAAAGTTGTTTTAATGAGTTATTGCATAATAGATAAACTGCATCACAGGTTTTCAGTAACTGTCTGATGACTTGTGCACTGAGCTTATCAGATACATCAGAGCTGCTATCATGGGTCATCTTCATACTACAGCTTCTGCTCTGCACTCTGAGAGGAAGATGTGGTGAAAAGAGGGGGCCGTGGGGGGCAGAGCCTTTAATACAGGGCTGAAAATGAGTAATAAAAAGAGTGCGAGAGTCTCAGCAGCTCAAATCGGAGATACAGATGGAGAGAGAATCATTCAGAGAGAAGATGAAGATGAAGATAAGCTGTGTGTGTTTGGTGCTGGTCCTGCTGATGACCGTCTCCTCAGATGCTACCAGTGAGTTTAACACCCCTTACATTTTTTAATGTGGACTTTAAATATAATTGTTACAACACAGATTTGCTAGTCTGGGTGATATAGAGCATGATTAAAACCCAGCATTAAAGTTAATTTAATGTTCTAAATCAATAAAAAGCAAGTACTGACTTTTCTATTCGTAACTTTTAGACTTTTATTGTATTGAATATGTTTTAATATAGATATTTATTAATTTGAGACTCTTACTTTGTACTCATAATCTCAGTTAAATAGATTCTCTGATAGTAACTCAATATTAAAAATGATTATACTATATAATGACTATACTAAAAATAATAATTAGCACTACTAAAAATAACAATAACAACTACTACTGATGAAGGTAATCAATAATAAGAACAGGATTATTAATTATTTCTATTATTAAAAGCATATTTTAACTATTTTTATCATTAGTATTAATAGTAAATGTAGTGTAAGTGTTCAGAACGTGCAGGTTCAAGTGTTTCATCATTAGAAGACAGAACTTCAAAATCTTTCTTCTCCTCTTCCTCAGATGGTGCCAATGGTCATCCTGATAACTGCTGTTTCAGCTTCGTCACTTTTAAAATTCCAGACAAAGAAATACTAGAAGTTGAAAGATCACATCCCGACTGCCCAAAGAAGGGGTTTGTGTGAGTATCTGCCTTTAGAAGATGTAGATCATCACTGAAGGAATAAAACCTTGTATCTCCAAAATAGGAAATTTTCAGGAGAAGAAAAAACTTTCATAACTTTAATGTAAATTAATGTAATGAGTTTTTTTCCCAACTAATTTTGGAGCATTTCTATTGGTCCATTCATCATGAGATTTTGGCACATTGTAAATGTCAGCTGCTGTTCAAATCATGTTAAAAAGCTGAAGATACAAGGTTTTGTTCTGTTAGTGCTGACATGTGGTTTATTGTCTTATTATGTCACTTAAAAACATTTGTTTCTATATTAAATCTGATTTGCTGCTTATTATCAGTAGATGAGACTCTCTGGACTGAAAACATAATGAGGTTAACTGTGCTGTCTTTCAGGTTTACAACGCCGAGGGGCAGATTCTGCAAAAAGGACCTGCAGTAAATCTAGATTTCAGAGCTGCAGCTTCAACACAGCCCAGACGCAGACGCAGCAAACAGAGCAGCTAAAAGCTTTACACACCTCTTTAATCATCACATGATTTATTAATCAGAGCTTTGCTTTTTCAATATTATCAGTGATTGTTTAACTCTGTGGAAATAAAACAATACATGACAAAAATCTCTACGGAGAAAAATAACATACAAATTAGATTTCAGAGCTCCAGCTTCTAAACAATAATCAATGTATTTATTATTTTCAATATTATTGCTGCTAATTTTATGCTGTGTATTCAAATAAAACTGCATTGCAAACATTTCAAGTGAATCATTTATATTGTGACAGTATTACATGGATATTATATAAGAGAGTGATGCAGTGATAGTGATATAGTAGTGATGTTGTAGAGGCTACGTGTGTATTTACATTTACCGAACAGCAAAAACAGTGTGTTATGATAAGGACGATGCATATTGTGTTTAGTATAATTATCTCGTAATAAACATGTTTACATAAACAGAATAGGCAATGCTAAAAAGAAAAGAATATATACAATCCTGTCTGCATATAAAAACAAGTAGTGATGTTGGTTTTGGACTCATAATGTTATGAAGGAGCTGAACGGTTAGTCTCACAAGCCAGACTTTAACCTGTGATCTGAGATTCTGGAGTGTTTCATCATTTAACATCACCAAGAACCACCAATGTTGATCAATCAACTGTTTAAGTTTGGTCTGTGGGAAACAAATCAGCACTTATGTGAAGATATCTTGCTTAAGAGCTACTGAATACTTCAGAGAAATCCTTTGAATTACTTTTAGATGTGATGCCAAAACTTATTTATCACTGAACTAATCCAACTGTAGACAGAAGTGCACGCACACAGATGTGTGGAGAGCCAATCAGAATGGAACTGACAAAATCCTGATAGTTGTGGGCACCTCAGTTCTGGCTGAGGAGAAACCATCACCTGACAAGTAGCTTGTGTAGCTGAGAGAGACCATCAGCATTACTGTAGAGTGACTGATGTTTGACACTGAAGGGAAAGTTCTTGAGTGCAGGACCTGATGAAGGTGAGAAGCTGAGACAGTACTGGAGCTCATCAACAGTCCATCTGATAGTGAGAGCTTCTCTATCCAGACAGAAATATGTTGCTGTGTATAGAGAAGCTCTCACTGTCTAATGGACTGTTGATGAGCTCCAGTACTGTCTCAGCTTCTCACCTTCATCAGAGATCATGTGTCCATTCAGTGGATGATGAAGACCAAAAAGCTTCAGGTTTCCTGCACTCAAGAACTTTCACTTCAGTGTGCAACATCAGTCTGGTCTCTCCACCCCTCCCTCATCTCTGTCTGGACAGAAAAGGACCACAAAATTTCTTCAATCATTCATTTGTTTACTTATTTATTCTTCTATCAATTAATGAATTCATCAGTGTGCTCTTCCAATGTGTCTGTTTTCTGGGGAACAAGTATCAGCCTCCTTAGTTGGTGGACTCCTGTCTCCACTGTAGCTCTGCTGGGAATCAAACTCAATAAGATAAAACCTTCTGAACTGATTCCTGCACTAAGTATCCCAAATATCAGCTTTTATCATCACAGCCTCATCTACAGTCCAGGACCTCCACTGCATGATGGATATAGAGTATTCTTGCTGTGTCTGAGGTTCATTTACTGTTATGATAGATTCCACAGAAACCTCAAAAGCGAAATATAACATTGTTCAGTATTTAGTGTGCACTCATTACCTTTATTACAGCTTCCATTCATTTCAGGAGACTTGACAGAAGATTTTTATGTGCTATGAGGTTTTGCATTTAGTAATTCCATTCTGTGAGCTTGTGTAGCGCACCCTGTTGCAGGTGAGCTGTTGTTGCTCCTAGATGTTACAACCTTGCAATAATGCTGACATTTGACCAGGACAGCTGTAGTAGAGCAGAAATGTAACAAATTGAGATTTTGAGCAGGTGTCTTTCTGAGACAGAGCCATGTTGAGTCACTGAGCTCTTCAGTATGAGTCAGTCTACTGCCAGTGTCTCTCTATGAAGGTTGCATGGCTGTATGCTTGATTTTATGCATCTGTTAGTAGTGGGTGTTGACAAACACACTGATGAGAAGGAGTTTCCACACACATTTGGAGATGTAATGTAGCAGTTTTGGTTTAATTTACTGAATGTAAAGGTGTATTAATGAGCTATTGCATAATAGATAAACTGCATCAAAGGTTTTCAGTAACTGTCTGATGTTTAGTGCACTGAGCTTATCAGACTCATCAGAGCTGCTATCATGGGTCATCTTCATACTAGAGCTTCTGCTCTGCATTTAGAGAGGAAGATGTGGTGAAGAGGGAGTCAGTGGGGGGCAGAGCCTTTAATAAAGGGCTGAAAATTAGTTATAAAAGAGAGAGTGAGAGACTCAGCAGCTCAAAGCTGAGATACAGACGGAGAGAGAAACATTCAGAGCTTCAGACGCCTGCAGAGAAGATGGAGATGAAGATGAGCTGTGTGTGTTTTGAATAAAACAATGCACTGCATACATTTCAAGTGAATCATTTATATTGTCACAGTATTACATGGATATTATATAAGAGAGTGATGCAGTGATAGTGATATAGTAGTGATGTTGTAGAGGCTGCGTGTGTATTTACATTTACCGAACAGCAAAAACAGTGTGTTATGATAAGGACGATGCATATTGTGTTTAGTATAATTATCTCGTAATAAACATGTTTATGTAGACAGAATAGGCAATAGACAAGTAGTGATGTTGGTTTTGGACTCGTGATGTTATGAAGGAGCTGAACGGTTAGTCTCACAAGCCAGACTTTAACTGTTGGTCAGAGATTCTGGAGTGTTTCATCAGTTAACATCACCAAGAACCACCAATGTTGATCAATCAACCTCAGACTGTCAATACTTGACTTGACTTGATGTGTGGAGAGCCAATCAGAATGGAACCAAATCCTAATCATTTTGGGCACCTCAGTTTTGGCCGAGGAGCCACCATGACCTGACCAGAAGGTGTTTAGCTGAGAGAGACCATCAGCATTACTGTAGAGTGACTGATGTTAGACACTGAAGGGAAAGTTCTTGAGTGCAGGACCTGATGAAGGTGAGAAGCTGAGACAGTACTGGAGCTCATCAACAGTCCATTAGACAGTGAGAGCTTCTCTATACACAGCAACATATTTCTGTCTGGATAGAGAAGCTCTCACTATCAGATGGACTGTTGATGAGCTCCAGTACTGTCTCAGCTTCTCACCTTCATCAGAGATCATGTGTCCATTCAGTGGATGATGAAGACCAAAAAGCTTCAGGTTTCCTGCACTCAAGAACTTTCACTTCAGTGTGCAACATCAGTCTGGTCTCTCCACCCCTCCCCCATCTCTGTCTGGACAGAAAAGGACCACAAAATTTCTTCAATCATTCATTTGTTTACTTATTTATTCTTCTATCAATTAATGGATTCATCAGTGTGCTCTTCCAATGTGTCTGTTTTCTGGGAAACAAGTATCAGCCTCCTTAGTTGTTGGACTCCTGTCTCCACTGTAGCTCTGATGGGAATCAAACTCAATAAGATAAAACCTTCTGAACTGATTCCTGCACTGAAAGCCCAAATATCAGCTTTTATCATCACATCCTCATCTACAGCCCAGGACCTCCACTGCATGATGGAAATAGAGTATTCTTGCTGTGTCTGAGGTTCATTTACTGTTATGATAGATTCCACAGAAACCTCAAAAGCGAAATATAACATTGTTCAGTATTTAGTGTGCACTCATTACCTTTATTACTGCTTCCATTCATTTCAGGAGACTTGACAGAAGATTCTTATGTGTTATGAGGTTTTGCATTTAGTAATTCCATTCTGTGAGCTTGTGTAGCGCACCCTGTTGCAGGTGAGCTGTTGTTGCTCCTAGATGTTACAACCTTGCAATAATGCTGACATTTGACCAGGACAGCTGTAGTAGAGCAGAAATGTAACAAATTGAGATTTTGAGCAGGTGTCTTTCTGAGACAGAGCCATGTTGAGTCACTGAGCTCTTCAGTATGAGTCAGTCTACTGCCAGTGTCTCTCTATGAAGGTTGCATGGCTGTATGCTTGATTTTATGCATCTGTTAGTAGTGGGTGTTGACAAACACACTGATGAGAAGGAGTTTCCACACACATTTGGAGATGTAATGTAGCAGTTTTGGTTTAATTTACTGAATGTAAAGGTGTATTAATGAGCTATTGCATAATAGAAAAACTGCATCAAAGGTTTTCGGTAACTGTCTGATGTTTAGTGCACTGAGCTTATCAGACTCATCAGAGCTGCTATCATGGGTCATCTTCATACTAGAGCTTCTGCTCTGCATTTAGAGAGGAAGATGTGGTGAAGGGGGAGTCAGTGGGGGGCAGAGCCTTTAATAAAGGGCTGAAAATTAGTTATAAAGAGAGAGTGAGAGACTCAGCAGCTCAAAGCTGAGATACAGACGGAGAGAGAAACATTCAGAGCTTCAGACGCCTGCAGAGAAGATGGAGATGAAGATGAGCTGTGTGTGTTTTGAATAAAACAATGCACTGCATACATTTCAAGTGAATCATTTATATTGTGACAGTATTACATGGATATTATATAAGAGAGTGACGCAGTGATAGTGATATAGTAGTGATGTTGTAGAGGCTGCGTGTGTATTTACATTTACCGAACAGCAAAAACAGTGTGTTATGATAAGGACGATGCATATTGTGTTTAGTATAATTATCTCGTAATAAACATGTTTATGTAGACAGAATAGGCAATAGACAAGTAGTGATGTTGGTTTTGGACTCGTGATGTTATGAAGGAGCTGAACGGTTAGTCTCACAAGCCAGACTTTAACTTTTGGTCAGAGATTCTGGAGAGTTTCATCAGTTAACATCACCAAGAACCACCAATGTTGATCAATCAACCTCAGACTGTCAAGACTTGACTTGACTTGATGTGTGGAGAGCCAATCAGAACGGAACCAAATCATGATCATTTTGGGCACCTCAGTTCTGGCCGAGGAGCCACCATGACCTGACCAGAAGGTGTTTAGCTGAGAGAGACCATCAGCATTACTGTAGAGTGACTGATGTTAGACACTGAAGGGAAAGTTCTTGAGTGCAGGACCTGATGAAGGTGAGAAGCTGAAACAGTACTG